AGGTCCGTTGGTTCGTTCCGTGGCTTAGTTGGTATAGCGTCTGGCACGGTATGCAAGAAGACGTCGGTTCGAATCCGACCGGATCGAAGGAATTTTTTCTGAGTGCTTTTTCTGAGTGTTCGATCTTTGTATTAATAATTATAACAAACTAGTGGAGTAATTTCACAAAAAATAATTGAATATCAATTCAATAAAAATTTAATTAAAACATTAGAATTTTACAATAACTTGCTTAACGTGGACCATGATATTCTTCTATTAACAGAGACTTGGCTAAACGACAGTGTTTTAGATTCCGAACTATCAGATCACAGATATGAGATATTCCGCTGCGATCGCGGATCGAACGGAGGTGGGGTTATGATCATGTGCAACCGAAGACTGAGCGTGCGCGCTCGTATCGAATGGCAACACGATCACATAGAATGCGCATGGGTCGCCGTGGACGGTCGAACAATAGGCTTAAAACAAGATCTGCATATAGCATTGGCTTACATGGCGCTGGGGCATTTGTTACCCTCTCGACTGCGTACACTTGATTACCGGCGTGGCTAGTAAGGTCACTGATGATTTGTTTATATTTGTAGGCGATTTCAATTTATTTAATATAGCGTGGATTCCCATTCCCATCGGGGCCGACACATTTAAAAAAGGGAGCGTTGATCTTCAAAATTCAGGAATACACTGAGGCTCGTATTCCAGAACTCTCCTCAATGCTCAAGTCAGGACTTGAGCAGACTTGAGTATGATTTCAAGCACTGGAAATACGACCCTAATGGCAAGGACTTGGGTATGATTTTCAGTTCTCACTGCAATACTCAAGTCCTGACTTGAGTATTGAGTAGAGTTCTGGAATACGACTCTTAATAAATTTCTTGGGGCTTCATCAAAGTAAGACATTCACAAACACCTAATACAGGAAATACATTAGGTCTTTTCTTCAGCAACTTTGACGTGGACATACGCACCTCATTTTTCGCATTTGTAAAAGAGGACGTTCATAACACTACTCTTATTCTTGATGCGAGTGATTTATTAGTGAGTCGTTTGTCAAAGTATCCTAGGAAGAAATTCTTATTTTATAAGGCGAACTATGATGTCATTAATATGGAACTTAGCAATGTTGATTTGATGGAATTGCTTTCATCTGGTGCGATTGACGAGTCCATTGATAGCTTTTACTCTGTTTTATATGGCATCATTGATAAGTGTGTTCCTATTAAATATACTAATCGGCTGAACCAATATCCAGTACCTATGGTACAATCGTGCGCTTGTTCGCTTATTAAACGAAAAAATTAATGTTCATCGTCGATGGAAGCGCTATGGTAATCAACTGGACTACGATACTTTTTCTTTATTAAGAAAAAGGATGAAGATTATGCAAAGCGAATGTTATCAAAAATATATATTACGTTGCCAGGATAACATCAAATCTAACCCTAAATGACTTTGGTCGTCCATTAGCTTTAAAGGCAAGCGTAACACAGGTTATCCAGGTTCAATGACATACGAGTGTAGGCAGTTGGTGGACGGCGATACTATTTGCTCCGCATTCAATAATTATTTCGAGAAAATGTTTATTCCTCCAGCAAACCAAATGAGGAGCAACCTTCAGTTAGTACTCGTGATTTAATACATTCTTTATCGGTCTCTCAAAATGAAATTTCTAGGCTGCTTTCTGCGCTTGATGTTAGGAATTCTGCTGGTAGTAATCAGATCCCGCCTTCATTTATAAATAAATGCGCCGTGTCTCTCTTTTCCTTTGAGTATAATTTTTGGCCGTTCTTTATCAAATGGAGTTTTTCCCTTAAAGTAGAAAGAAGCCCATATTGTTCCTATTCACAAAAAGGAGTCAAAATGCGGAATAGAGAATTACCAACCAATATCCATTTAGAATGTTTTTGTAAAATGTTTAGAAAGGGTCGTTTACAAAAGTATTTATTCCATCTTAAAATAGAGTAGGTATACCTGATGAGCAGCATGGTTTTGTAGAAGGACGATCAACAGTCTCAAATTTACGCATTTATATGTATAAGTGGCTTACGCCGGTATATGGGTACTCATTTTCAGGTTGATTTGGTCTACACGGACTTCGACTTTGACACGCTTTCGACTGCGTAGATCACATTATACTTTTGCAGAAGCTTTTTCAGCTGGGAATACGGAGACCTATACAGATGGATTAAATCGTATATTTCGAATAGGAAACAAGTGACTTCATCAGTATACCTTCTAGCGTATCACAAGGCTCACTACTCGGTCCTTTATTCTACATGGCTTTTATTAGTGAGATTAGCTCCTGTTTTAAGTATGCAAAATTTTTACTATATGCTGATGACACAAAAATTTATATGACGGTCAAATCTTGAGAAGATTGCCTAAAACTGCAAGAAAATTTAAGTCTGCTCTAGCAGTATTACGTTACTAACATAATTACTGTTAACGCAGCAAAGTGTATGCATGTATAGTTCACAAGATGCAAAAAAGGCTTTGAAAATGATTTCAAATTGAATAACACATTTGTAAGCAAGGTGGATGTCGTAAAGGATTTAGGTGTTTATTTGGACTCAAAAGTAACATTCGCTAATCATTTTGAGCACATAACCAACAAGGCATATAAAAATTTGGGGTTCATTTTTAGAGTAACCAAGGATTTCAGGAAAGTTTCCTGTATGAAAGTGTTGTACTGTGCATATGTTCGAAGCATTCTTGAATACTGCTGCACTATTTGGAACCCACAGTATATTCGATACGAATACGCTATCCAACGCGTGCAAATAAAATTCATAAAATATTTAAATTTTCGTACTAATAACATACTGAACGATTACAGGGAGTCGTGTAGTAAACATGGCCTCACTACACTTAGGGATAGACGTCGTATGCAAGAGATGGCTGTTTGTTACGATATATATTCAGGAAAATTAGATTGTTCAGAATTAGTTATTAGGAGAATGAGCTTAAAAGCTCTTAGGAAAAGGTCACGGCATACGCAGCTTTTTCTGATACCGCTTGTACGCACAAATTACGAGACTAACGACATGACCGTGAGATTGCCTAAAACATACAACAAGTATTTTTTTGACATTGACCTGTTTTCTGTGTCTAGAACTACATTTAAAACTGCTTTGCTTGGTAACATCAGAGGTATAAATAAATTAATTCAACAATTTAAAAATATGTATTTATTTCTCATTATATTAATTAATATAATTTATTTGAATTTAACTCAATTATTATAATTGAACCATTTTACTTCAACTTATTTTCTTAAACAGTTTTATTTGCAACGATGTCGTGCGCCATGTAAGCCGAGTTGCAAGCACTTACGATGCGAGCAGTTTCTTTCTTTGTTACTTTTACCTGGCTAGCACATTCTTTGAGGAAATAGGGGGAGGCGAACCAGACTCTCACGCTCCATCACATATACACACATGTGCCTACACAGACCCATACACGACAATTTATATCAGTAATTTACAGTTAGTTAAGAACTCAGTTTTTATTGTACCAATTTAAATGTATTTTTCTACCCAATGTTGTAATCATAATATCACATATATTGTATACATATTCAGTTTCTGTGATCGGCTTTTGTACTGCTAATTTATTTGTCAAATAAGTTTAAGAATGCTGTTGAAACTTTGTTCATTGAATAACTGCCTCCGTGACGGAACGGTTACCATGCCGTACTGCCACGCAGAGGTCCCAGGTTCGATTCCCGGGCCAGGAGAAATATTTGTATGGCCTACGTTTATTTCTCTCGTGAGTTTGGGTGTAATTTGTGGTTGTCTATGTGTGTGTGTCTATGGCATCCGCGATACAGGGTTTCTCTAGCGCGGGGCTATGTTGAGTGTGTGCGTAAAAAAAAAGAAAAAATAAAATTACCGTACAAACAATAGAAGTACGTACATACCATAGCCTAGAGGTATTTAAAAAAAATCTTATGTACACACGCCAGCACATCAAGCTACACATTGACGTATCTTGTTCCGTTGCACTGAAGGCGATTGTCGAACAAAAATGTGTAGTCTGATGTGCCGTTGTCCGTACATACGTTTTCCATCCTCTAAGGTACGTACGTACATACTTAAGTATATCTTAAAGGATGGAAAAAAAAAATAAAGGCAGTATACCCCTTAGTGCATTTGTACCCTAACATATTATTTATCATATATCATTTAAACTGCCTCCGTGGCCGAACGGTTACCATACCGCACTGCCACGCAGAGGTCCCCGGGTTCGATTCCCGGGCCGGGAGAAATATTTGTATGGCCTACATTTATTTCTCTCGTGAGTTTGGGTGTAATTTGTGGTTGTCTATGTGTGTGTCCATGGCACCCGCGACACAGGGTTTCCCTAGTGCGGGGCTATGTTGAGAAAAATAATAATAATATCATCCATTGACATTATGTTTGAAATTCTAATCTTGTGATCATTGACTTACAAATAAATGGACGACGGGTCTAATACAAAAACCACGAAAGAAATGTTCGAATAGGTTGACTTGGGTCAACCTATTCGAAATTTAAATTGTAATGTCATCGCAGTATCGCGCTGTCAGTCGAATAAATGAAGACTAAAGCGGAGTTTCGCGCTCTGTATACGATTTTAGCGCCTTACAAGTGCGGACACTTTTTAGCGCGGACCCGACGTCCATATAATTGTAAGTCAATGCTTGTGATGTTGATGACATGAAATAAATGATCCTATTCTATTTTGCACTTTGCCCTAAAGTGTTGAACGACACTTTAAATGTCAATAATCATTGATCGGAATATTTTCCAAAAAAGAATAATGTACCAAGACTTGGCTGTATGGTGTAAAACCTTTGCCTTTTCCTTTATGGAAAGAAGAAAAAAAAATGATCGGAATATTTGACATTTGTCTTCTCTCTGTTGATTATTTTCAAAATATAAACTTATAAAAATTGTGGTTTTTTTCATAGCGCGATTGCTTTTGTGAATTTATCAGTAGAAAACTCTTGCTATTGTAAAATGGCGAAAAGCGATTCAGTTGTAGAGTTTGATAATGTTAATGGTTTTCCTTTGTATCTAAAAGTCGATTCACGTAGTGGTTCTCCAAAGTCGAAATATTTTACAATATCATATAAAACGAAGGAAAATAAGTCAAATTGGCCCTTGCTGCCGTTGTTTTTGGCTTTATTTTTCAATGTTATTGCTATGTGCTACATAACCATAAGTGTAACAACGATTGTAGTGATTATAATTGTACTGACTTTCTTGCTGTTCTTTTATATGACACGCTGTGTTCAGTCAGGTTTGTACCACCGGTCTTTGGTTCTAACACATATTTGATGATATATGTTTACCAAGGTTTTAAAAAATTAAGATTGTATATACCTATCCATTTAATTAAGTAAATTTTGCCATAATTCTACTTCAGAAAGCCTTCTTGTAATACCAACTGTGGGAATCCAAAGCTCAATAAAGTATGTGTATGGCAGAGAGAACAACTTCATACCCTGGTCATGTGTAGATGATGTCATTATCAATGAAGTTATTAAGCTGGTAAGATTATAAATCCTTATTTAAACATGACATAAATCATGAATAAGCATTTTCATTAAATGCTTCCGTGGCCGAACGGTTGTCTGGACTGCCACGCGGAGGACCCAGGTTCAATTCCCAGGCCGGGGAAATATTTGTATGGCCTACATTTATTTCTCTCGTGAGTTTGGGTGTAATTTGTGGTTGTATATTTGTGTCTATGGCACCTGCGAACCAAGGCTTCCCTAGTGCAGGGCTATGTTGAGTGTGTGCATTATTATTATTTGCTTTTTATTTTCAGGCATCTGTGCCATTAAAGTAGAATAGGATCATTTATTTCATGTTATCAACATCACAAGATTACAATTTCAAACATGTCAATGGATGATATGATTGTCATTAATATGAACAATTGTAGTTAACATAAATACCAATCAGTATAACTAAAAATATAAGTACACACTATATATTTTCAAAATTTAATGATGCCCATTAAATATTGTTTATTTCTTAGAAATCAGTTCCTATATAATTTATTATCAATAAAAAGAGTTAGTTGGATATAAAACATTTTGTCGTTTGTAGCACTTCAGATTTGCAGGTAGGTGTTCGCAGAATCAGGGACCTATGACTCAAGGGTTTTTTGTTACATTGTCATCATATGCCATCTGGGCAAAGTTAATTTATATTCAATGTGTTTAAAAATGGAAACAAGAAATATTCGCTGTCTATTGAGAACATGATAGTAATATAAAGTAAAAAGTTGCTAGAACAAACGTGAAAGAGAAAAGATAGACATAAAGGAGGAAAGATTAATTTCTTTGAGGTAAACTCACAATCTTCTAACTAGATTTTTCCTGAATCTCTATAGTATTACTATTCTAGTATATGATATTTTGGTTAAAGGAGAGAAACAACTTGTAAATCTACTACTAGATAGAATATAATATTTTTATAGTGATATATTTACACAAAACAGCTAGGCAGTCAGATGGTCCACTTGATTGAGTGGTTCTGTCACCTAATTTGTGTCATTCACAAGTCTGCAGGTGGTTTTAGTACACTTAGGGTCGTATTTTAGAACTCTATTCAATGCTCAAGTCAGGATTGCACTGGCAACACAAGCACTGGAAATACGACTCTAATGGCAGGAACTTGAGTATTATTTCGAGTGCTTTAAACCATACTCAAATCCTGACTTGAGCATTGAGTAGAGTTCTAGAATACGACCCTCAATATTGTTTATGTATTGTGGGTAGTGTAAGTATAAAATGTGTGTTGGTATCATTGGTTCTGGGAATTTATTGGACACAATCTTCGCTTCAAACCTGCCATGGATCCTGCGCCTTTAGGGATATCCCAATGGGGCACCAGGAATACAGACAATATAGATACAGGGTTATCAACTCTATGTGACATCAGAGCCTAAAATGCGTGTCTGGGTGGCTCCGTCCTAAATAGCCATTACACACATAACATTACAGCCATTACACCCTGTGAGCATGGCAGAGTTAACACTCTCATATTGCACCAGTGGCCCTTGACAAGACACGCTACAGGTGTTTAGTGCTCATGTGTGTAAAAATTAATGGTATATGCTAATGACTGATTGACTAATTAAACCTTGGGTTTGATAACCTTTTGGAGTTGGCACTCGGAAGTATTGGTTCAGTCCTAGAGCATTCTGTGCCGATGTGTTAGCACTGGCAGCCTAGGTGCCTTACATCGACCAAACTGACACCCTTGGAACATGAGATTTTGAGTCTCATGTGCCTGTGACTGCGCTAGCTCGTCTTCTTCTCATCTTTCCCGTCAATCTGAAACAAAACTTCCCTGTTTTCTGGTAAAAACTGTAGCATCAGTAAATATTAATATTTAAATTTGCCTAAATACTACTCATTGTATTATCTTTATATTACAGAACAGAGTACTGTACTACCTCACTATATTGGTGAAGACAAATTACAATAATCCAGAAAATGAGGCAATCAAACTAATACCATTATTCAAGGTATGCTGCAATTAGAAATTAGTATCATAGTATATGTAAATAATAAGACAAGTATTCAAGGAAGAAGAAGACAAACATTCAAACTCCTCCCTGTTCGGTGCGTCAATGCCTACACTTCGTTCAGAGCAGAGTTGTCACATTAATATTTTAGTTGAAGGTATTCATCACAATATTCTCGCTGTATTGAAATAACCTTTGTCAAGTCGGTACTTACATTTTTGATGTTTTTTATACCAACATCGCTTATTAGTATCTCGATCATTGGAGGACGATAATGAAATACGAGTTTGAAATACGATAATTAAATATGAGAATTTTCATAACGATAATTAAAAAGTTTCAAATTTGACAACAAACATTTTTTAAACACCGAACGAACTCGACAATTCTATAATGAAAGGTTGCGCTATGCAACCGCGTAGTGTAACGGGAGTGCCGCGCGACACAGGCGGGCGCGAGTCTATGCGAATGTATGTTGCGCCTGTCCGTACAAAGCGTGCACAAATACAAGCCGCACTGCTACGTTTGTGTGACACTACTACGTCTTTACTGACCTATATCAAACTTGTGTATGCTGAGAATAAAATCTAGTGATTAACAACGAGTGGTCTATGTCTTCAACTTTTAGAAATTAGAATATATAATGTAAAGCAAAATGAAAGAGCCTTTATTTACTGACAGTTGTAACAAAAAAATACATAAATTAACACATACATATAGTGCTTAAATAATTATTTATTTTCATTTTCTATCTATTCTCAATCTACAACCTGCAGTAAGTTCGTCTCAAGGCTCTCTTGCTATTTGTGATTTGTTATTTGGATGGCATTGTTGATAATAATGCCATCAAATTATTAACTTAAGAATTATTCTGTTTCAGTACACAAAACCAAGATTAATGATGCTGGAGAGAATATACTCGGAACTTCAAACATTGTTAATGGAGGCTCCAGTTGTAGATGCAGGCATGGGCTCTGGTGACATTGGATAAATCAAATATTTATTTAGAGGTATTTGAACTAATAGAGTGGGCAATATTTGCTGTGCAATAATTTGATAATTAGTAGAACGTGTAGATATTGAAAATATTTTTTTATTATGTAGCAATTGAAGATAGACTGGTAGGAGCAATTATTTACAGTTTGTCTTTTTTGAAGATGGGAGTAAAATGACATTTGTAGGGTTACCAATTTTCATAAAATTTTAAATATTATATTAGTATTGTGAAAGACGATGAAATTTTGCCAAAAATTGCTGAATTGTGAATGTTACGAAACTAATGATTACTATAGTCGTCACCAAATAAGAGGTCAAATTTGACAGCTAAAGAAGGCGATAGTATGTAACTTTGAAATTAATCAACGAAACAATAAACAAACAATTATTAGCATAATTGTGTTTAAAAAAAAAATCATAAATTTTATTGAAACATATAACGTGACAAAACACATTTGAAGTACTGTTTTCGCACCAAATCCAAAATAAAATGTAATTTTAAGTTACTCCGAAATGTCCTGAAAACAGTTACGTCCTCAAGCTATTTTTTCTTAAATTAATTTCACCTAGTCTTTCGACTTCTCGGAAAAAATATTGACTTATTTATTTTATTGATGAACATATTATTTACACTAAATTCTCGTAATAAACCATTTATGAATGTTATAAAATCAAAGGAATTGGATACAGTTCATTGGAATGTGGGACAATTTTACGAAAATAAGAGAATTGCTACAGAATTGCAAGGAATTCTATAAATGAAATTGATTTTAACTGAATTGCACGATTTGGCCTATTAGGCCCCTTGAACAACAATCAAAGGAAAAATAATCTAAACAATCACAAACTCCTAAAATTTTTAATCGATTTCTCGTGAAAATCGTATAATGTGATTACCGATATGATTAGTCCACATCCCTATTCGCGTCACGATGACAAGTGTAAAATTTGGCCTCTTATTTGGTGACGACTATAATTGCGTTATTGCCTTCTTTATTCTTATTTTGACAGATGACCTACTAATATCGAGATCAATTTTTATTCATATACATTTTAACAATAATAACCGGATTTGAGTCGAAATATGCGACTTAATGATTTTAATTTTGTTCTAAATTACTCGTTTTACTTTTTTACTCCTGTTGTTTTTTATTATTTTCTATTAAATGGAGTATTTCTGGTGAGGTTTATCTTCTTGCCCTGATTACAGTTATTACCATGACATAATAACATTGATTAAAATATGTCAGAGTTGATAAATTTGCCGAAAAACATGATATGCCCAAAACAGCGCTTCGAAAAGTAATGCAATATCATAAAACTTTCCCGTAAAAGTAACATTATCGTGTAATACACAGACATATTATATCTAGATAAACGCCGCAAGTACAGCAATTTGTATGAAAACCAAGCGTGCCACATTTTTAGTGCCTACTGTGACGTCACAAGAACAATTTAGTGATGAAACCTCCTTCCGCTCGCTCTAAATCGCTTGACTGAACGGAATTTTCATTTCATTTCAAGAATACGAAAGAAGAATAATAAGTAAACACTCGTATTCCATTCAATTTATCGATTCTAAATAGAATAATTTTTGTCCAAGTATTTGTTGATTACAAGCAGTCGTAATATTAATATATTAGAAAAATACTAGAATAAGATAGTTAAGTCCTTTATTTTACTTGTTTTAAAAAAATGTTGATTACTTAAAAAAATGAAGACTTTAATTTTTAATCCATTTTGTACGAATAAATCGTACGTGTCTGTTATTAATTTAAGGTCGTAAACATTATGCTTCCTTTACAATAAATTTAGTGTACATCACGCACTCAGCGGA